GGGAAGGGATGGCTACATCAAGCAGGCATCGATATACTGCCATTGGAAGGAGATATCAGAGTCATTGCCACAATTAATAAAGTAGATATAGAAAAAGTAGAAGGAGTGGAAGTGTTGATTAAGGTGATTGCTTTGTATTCCCAGGTTCCTGTGTTCTAAGCTTTTAATAACAGCATTATTCAGCCTCGTAATAAGACTTATACCCTTTTCACACTGTCACTTACAAATAGTAACAACTAGTAACAAACTACTAGTTTGTGTAGTGTGAAAGCAAATCCATGTAAAACTTTCAGAGATAGGACTATATCCTGGAAGAAAAACAGGCCCCGTTGTGGCATGTTTTCTCTCGAGATGTCCCATATTATTCAGCGCACTTGACTTTGTACTGCCACCAGGCAACGGAGAACAGATTTATTTTGCGCACACTAAGCTAAATATCTAGGCCAACTGCTATTCTGGGCTTTTGCATGGTTTGGATTATTATGTATGTGAAATGAATAAAATATCTTGTTACAACTAATCGTTAAAACATTTTATGTTAGTGTGAAAAGGGTATTATTCTAAAAAGCACCAAATTATTTGATAAATTGAATTAATAATTGCTGGCCTTCTAGGATAAGTGAGGGTCATCCTCTATAAAGGGGGGTGGGGGAGATATCCATAGATTATAGGTAGGCCCATAGATTTAGGAAAAATATAAAATGAACAAATTTATTGGGGCTGTTAATATCATATATGTGCTACCCGGCATTTAATAAATAATAATATCACTTCTTAGGTACCCGTCCAAAAGAGATCAGAGCATACACATTAAGAACATAGTTATCCATAAACATGTAAAAAATGAAAGTAAATCATTTAAATTCAGGTTTAAAGAGCGATGGAATATTATAAAACATACCTAAAATTATTCCAAATATGAAGGTTAAAAGCTTTAGAGATTTAAAATTATTAATATTTGTCAATATAAATTGTTTTTAATATCCAGTATTCATTTACCAAATTACAGCCCATTGATTAATAATAATGCTCAATTCAATTTCTTTCCTGCTTGATGGAGTTTGGTGAACATGTAATAAGGTTGAGTGTAAGAAATTAAGCTGAATGAAAAATTATTATTCGGCTGAATATAGGTCAAATTGCACCCACTATAATCTTTGTAGCTAATAACAATACCATAAAAAAACATTTCGTTTGATACATGGAGTAGTAGTTGGTTGGGTGTCTTGGGAATGTTAAAGAAATGGAATGCTAAAGAAGCTTTACTTTTTTAGGGCCTGGTCTACTACCAAAAATTACATATATATACTGTATATTTTTTCAAAACATTGTTTCTTGCCAGTAGAAACAGACCATAAGATTATGCCCCAAGTTTTTGAACTAAAAGTGCAGCTTTTAATCAATTATTCTTGTCATTTACATTGCACATTAAATGTTATGTTAAATTAGGTTTTTATATTTTCTTAGCTAGTGGCAATCAATTCATTATATTTTAATTAACATGTTATGTAGATTTCTTCCACATGCTTTAAAATCACATTATCAAGATCCATCTTGTTATCAGGGAGGTATATTTTTATCTCCCTGTTGTTATATTATCTGAGGAGTTTGTTATAATCTGTAACTGTCTAGTCACATGTATATAAGTGCTATATGAAAATAGAATGAAAAAAGAATAGAAGCAATTCTGACTTTGTTGTACATGAGTGTGACCCACTTCCCCACCCTCATGACGGCAAATTTGTTCCACTAAGTTGTTTAAAATACCAAATATGACCATTAAATTTTCATTAGAATACAAATTTAGTTTCGCATTCTCAATTTTCACACCCTCCTAGGCCATTTTGCACCCCCAGAGCGAAAACCAGCCTATGCCCTTGTTGTTATGATGTTCAATATGTATGTTCCATGTTCGAGTCCCAGTCTAATCTTTTTGTCATATAAATTATCATATAATATTCTGCCGGTATCATTCGAAAATGGTAATGGGGCATTAACAAGACTGAGTATGAATTTTTATAATTTTTTTTCATTAATAATATTATTTTATTTACATCCTATATCATGCAATGGGATTTCAAAAAATAATTTATAAGACATTTACCTATAAAAAAAAAAAAAACGAAGCAACAATGATGATATCCCCAAAATGCATTGCTGGTACGCATAGAAGCTTCATGATGATAGTATCTGACTTGCCTATCCTCCCCATCAGTATTAATTTTTTAAAATTATACAGAGACTGCTGTTTCATTATAAATTTGTGACAAAAATATCAAATCTATATTAATATCAATTGCAATTATTTCAATTCAATACCATACATTAAATTCCAGTTCAATTTGAAAAGAGTATAATTAAATTCCAAATGTTATTGGTTTTGAATTATTGTTATTGATAAATTAATCATCTCTAAGTTTCGTAAATCTATAAATCTTGAAATGAGTCTCAGATTTAACATTATTATCAACCAGTTTTATTGCACATTTGTGTAGCAGTAATAGTTCATGGCTTAATACTAAGCTCTGTAAGCATACAAAAGAATGATATTACCGGTACATTAATAATAACATTTTATTTATAGCCCGTATCATGCAATACAATAGAGCATTACCATTACCATTTTATTTAAATTTAAGACGTTGGCTGCCAGCGGCAAGTATACTCACCCACAGGGTGTTGCTGAGGGTGCCAGCCACGAGTGTACTCATTAAAGTCGGGGTAATATTCTAGCATTTATAACTTCTTTGTTATAATTGTAGAATCAAGTGATGTATGTATGTTTGTTGTGTTATGTTGCCAGTAGTACTCACTAGTTTCATCACAAGTGGGGGCGCCCTTTGAACATATACTAATCCATGTAAAAAGCGGACGAGATAACTCGCACTTGGCATAGTCAATAAAATGTTCTATCACCATCGACGAGTTTACTCCCCCCCCCCAACCCAATATTTTCTCGCCAATTTGATAGACGCATCATTTTGATGATATATGTGCTTCTTTAATAATTAACATTATTTATGTATCATTAAGGCGGTACCAACTTCCAATACCAGTAACTATATTGTCTGGTGATATATTATTCAAGATTCACAAGGATAATATATGAAGCAGTCAGTAATAAAATTTCTAAGAATTGGGACAATGGTAAATGATATTACAACATATGATAATACAAAAATAGGATAATAACTAGACTTACTATGTTTTGTAAAACAGAATATAGGTCTTTTCCTCATTTACATAATGAGAATTGAAAAATTATAAATTTTGAAAAAATTATTTAAAAAAATATATAGTAAAAAATATATGAAACACAAAGAAAATCATAAAGAAAAATTATGAAGTAGGAAAAAATATGTAAACTAACTCGACTTGAGTGAGACTCGAACTAGGGCTGCAATGGTAATAGCGAGGGTGGTGTGAAGAGTTCTAACCATTCATACAAACTAACCCTGCGGAAGTCATTACATTTTCAGTTCATCGGCCTTGTGTAATTTCATATTGTTTATGCATTCCATGGTATTTTACGTTTAACCCAGCTGCAGCTAGTTTGAAGTGCTTTAGAAAACGCAAATTGTGTTAACATAAATATTTACCTGTTTTATTAAGCATCTTTAACCATAAGAAAAAAAAAACACTAATAATAATTTAATAGTATTTTATATTAGTTTATACATAAAGTGTGCTGGAACAACAAAATTAACAAAAACAATAGAGCTCACAAAATTTGAGAGTAAACTACATAAAATATTTTTATTTTTCAAAAAATGACCCACAGGCTACCAGTTAAGAACCACATGTTATTGATTGAATGATCAATAGATTCCTATAGGAAATTTAAAATACCATATTTATTCGAATAAACACCGCGCTTTGAATAGACGGAGCCCCTGAATAAACACCCCAAGATGTTTATTTTTCTTGAATAAACGTCCAAATGAGTGTTAACAAATCTAATGGAAGCAACATAATTTTCAACACATTCTATTAACGTTCTACTCCAGTAGAATTACATTTTTCTAACCTGGTTTTTGGATCAATAAGTCTTTATGATCACGCAATAACACATTTTGATGGTGATTACGTGTTGTAGTTCCACATTTACAGTGAAATTAAAGGGCATTTATTTCAGTATCCACATACCCCCTTGAATAAACGCCCCATCAAAATCCCTTCCCTATAATAGACGCCCTGGGGGGTTTATTTATTTGAATACAGTAAATAATCATTTTTATTGTTATATTATTATAATTAATAATAATAATGTAATAATGATATATCAATTTCCTCCAAAACAGAAAAACAATAAGCAAGGTATAGAAAATAAAGCAAAGGAGGGAAAAAGTTGCAATACAAACATGGCAGCCCCAAACATAGAATTACATAACACAAAAATTAATAAGCGGTCAATATATAAATGACAACACCAATAATTTGTTTCATTCATACAAAGGTGATTTTTTGGTATAAATCAGAAATCAAAATATAAAATTAATATATTAAAAACATATATAACGAAGAGTGAAAATTATATAAAATACTAAATAATAATTTATTTTGATAGTATTATTCCCATGGAATTAATTTAAGGATAATAACAGTAATAACAATATGCATTTATATAATACCATCCATTGGCCCAATGTAAAAAAATTGTCATCCATTATAGTAATAATAATATACCAGAACATTTTTTTTGGTGTCAAGTGCATTTTTAATTATTTTTCTCCATTGCCATGGAAAATTGTGGTTTCCATTTGGAAGTGATAATGATATGCATACTAAATTTCTGGGCACATTGAATAGTGTGAAATGCTATATGAACGAATGTAATAACACCTATTAGTTAGATTTAATTATCATTGATTTTTGTTGTCTACAATTGCTATTCTCGTTTTATTACTATGCAAATCTATGCGATGCCGAGTTAGTATTGATTAGGAGGGTCTTCTAAATATTTCAACACAATATACTCCCTGTCAACTGAATGGTATGGTCTGGTAATTAGGCTATGCTATTCATTGCAGAGAGAGCTGGCATTGTGTAGCGCTGTGGAGTATAGCACATGGTTACTTGCTTGTTCGTAATAAGAGGATTGTGTATGTCTGTGTTCCTCTTAAAAGCGTTGGAAAGATATATTAATCTTTATTTTTGGTGAGTTTTATGGACTGCTGTAGAACTAGATATTTCTGTGCCAGGTCTGTAGGTTTTCCTTATGATATTTTGTTTTGGAACCGGAGAGTAGTTGTTATATAACTAAACCTGCTACGGACCTAGGCCTAGCTGTATTTATCTGTTTTGACTGTGTGTAAAGTGCTCCTCCATTGGCATGCATAATGCATGCCAAACTTTAGCTTGGCTAGGCCATGCTGTGCTGGTGCCATACAGGTTTTAGGACCATGTGGTTTGTTACTAACCAATTTACTCCTGCGTTCATAGGCTCAAATTATCCTATAACATTAGCAGCAAGGGTGAACCTTGTCATCCTCGCTTTTAGCATTCTGAGAAAATGAAGGCATCATGAACATTACCCTAAATAAATTCTAGGCTAGGGCCCTAGGACTAGCCTGCCTTATTTAAATGAATAACAGACCTACTCTACTGTCTACAGTAGTTAGTTAGACTGCTGCTATACGTATGTAAAATATGTCAACAAAATATTACTATTATTGATTAGTAATAATGCATCAATTTTGAAATGTGGATTCTTTTATTAGGTAGTCTTCACACAAAATGACACAGCCAAGTCTATTTAAAAAAATGTAAAATATGTGATGTGTTTATGGTTTTACCATATTTATATAATAGGCCTACATTTAAAATGTTCTTATAGAGTGGATGGTGTTTTATTCGTTATTGTAATTAACAATGTAGTGTATATAAATAATACTTGTATATTTTTTCTATAGATAATTAATCCTGCATTTGAATTCGAATTGGAAAAAAATGCAAAATGAAACATTAATTTTCTAACGATAACATTGTCATCGGTGATATTTCAGCCCGCAGATAAATGCTCAAAATATCCTTCACATTAAGCTCCCCGGAATCTCATATCCTACAACTAATGGCACTGTAGAAAACTATGAATAATACAACACCGACTTCTATTTATACTTTTCATTCCTATATAGCTTGTACAGTACTCACAACCCCTTGGTTAATAATATTATTCTCTATTGCATAATTACGCTTGAATGCCCTAATAAATGAGGGCTATATATTGGACAGATTATTAAAGTTTTATTTATTACTCTAGGTTTCTACAGTTATCCAATATGCATGAATTAGACCCATAATGCATGTGGATCAGTTGGCTATAAGCGACTACTCAATAAGTTCAACCTGGAGGAGTTTAAAGTTTACTCGTAATTCTGTCATCTTGTTTCTGAAGTTGCTTTTCACTAAGCAATGTGTGAAACTGTGAAAATGTTCCACCTGTCATGTGGTTGTAAATTGAGATAAAAATTTAAAATAATGTACAACAGTATAATAATTTGCAATTTAAATATTATAATTTTAAGCATTTTTATACCAGACAATCTTTTTTCATAAATGTGTATTTTGTTAAAAGATTGTCTTGAGGTTTATGAGTCCAAAGATTTAAATAACTATTGTAGTGTTAAGTATGTTAACTAACAAAAAAATAATTTAAAACATCTAACAAGATGCACTTAAGGAAAGGAATAAATAATTTTAGTATGAAGTTATTGCCAATGTTTAAAATAATTATTCAATATTATTTATACCAATAAGACATCCCTTAAAATTTATTTTAACGTTAATGTTCATACAATTTGTAAGAATGAAAACAAAAACCAGTTGCCCTGAAAGACATCAACAATCCATTTTTCAATTTTGTGCTTTATATTTGGCGTATTCGACTGGTTCATTTCGTTGACTACAAATTTTCGTTTTTATTTTCATTTGACTGGTTCGTAAAATAGACTTTGTTGACAACAAAAATTAACCTAACGTGACCAAAACAAACATAGCCAATTGTGAGTTTAGAAACAACATTTGCATTAATATAATTTAGATTAAATTTCATAAAATAAAAATTATAATATTTACCAATATGAAGTCAAAAAATAATTATAGGCTAACAGAATTCAAAAACTGGATAAAAATATTTTTTTACGAAAAACCCATACTGACACAAGCTGAAGCAGCTTGACTACACAGTGTGTATCGCAGTAACTAGGCAGCCATTTTGTTTTATCAAGTATTTACAAGTTTTCTATTCGACTCGTAGTCTTCGTCAAGTAGGATTTTACCGCTGTGCAGGTGGGCGTGGTTTAAAACGAAGAACGACCAGTCGAATACAGCCATTGTGTTTTTGTGAACACACCACTGGTTGCTATGAAAGATATTAGCAACCCACTCATGTCATCTTTCATGTAGTGTATTTGTGGATACATCACTGGTTATTCTTTCAGACATCTTTTTGTAAATATATAGCACTGGTTACCCAGAAAGACGACATGAGTAAGCCATCTCATGTTGTGTTGAGAATTGCATTTTTATTTAAATTTAATCAGAAATGTAAATGTTTAATCAAATAGTGCCTTACATTTTTTGTACAAAAGTTCTATAGAGTAAAACTTTTGATTAATGATACCAATTAATCATAGGTGGCCTTGTTGACGCAAGATACTTTTCCGTACTGGGTTTAGCAAACATTTTTTTTTAAAGATCGTCAGAAGACGATGAAAATAAATTTACTTGTTTTTCTCATTTTGCTAAATGGTTCTGCTGAAAGCATCGAGCTGGTGAAAAAAATATTAAAATAATGTTTTATTGACTATTAAAAAATAAGAGTGTGAAGTAAAAACCTAGGCCTACCGTAACAGATAATAGGCCTACTCTTACTGTAGGTTTTCAGTTGGTGCTATCATATGGTTGTAAAAAAAGAAATGTTGCGATCATATAAGCAATTCAGTAATTAGATTAATAATGCTTCATACTTATTTCAGGAAGAAATAAAGATTTTTTCTTGAGAATGCTTGGCAGTGGTACATATATTTTGTTTAAAATCTGAAATTTCCATTGTTCACTGTAGTGGTTGCACAATAGGCAAAAAAATAACATTTTATTATAATCAGATAATCAGTATATATTTATTTTTTGATATAAAAGGAATCTTATCTACCTGTATAAAGATAAATTATTTGAATGTTTGGGACCTTAGGTGAGACTTTTTATACCTTGTTTCAACTTATTTAAAAAAAAATTTGTGTTCTTATTTAGCAATAATTTTGCCAAAAACATCCTGGTGGAGGAGAAATTAAATTTTATTGGTGAATGTAAACAATGTAGTAATAGGATGGTTAAATGCTTTCAATTTATATAATTAAAAAGAAATATCTTATTTTCGGAGATTTCAAGGCAGCGATGGGCATAATAAAAATTTTAAAAACTAGTATTTTTTTCTGAAATTTCCAATTTGTCCTGGCAGTGAGTGTGCTAATTGGCCAAAAAATTTTTTTTTTATTTGAAATCATTATTGGCGGGGTGTGGGCTTCACTAAAACAAGGTATAAAAAAATCTTGCTTTATCGGTCTCACTCTCAGATAGGAATGAAAGAGGGGAAACATTAAAATCTGAAAAATGAATTTTCCTGTATAGTACATACTTTAGGGAAATTATTTTATAGTTTATAATAATTCTTGGAGTTTGTAGATAAGTTAAGGTAGTACTTGAAATGACAGTATTGATGTATATAAAAAAGGTTAATTTTTAAGGGCTTTCAATTATATACGGGAAAAAAAAACCATTCCAGACAGTTAATATTTCCATAAACTGGCAGAATTCCTCCATGTCTTGTATTTTCCCAAGATCTATGAAAATGTGGAAAAACTTTGTTACATTTTGAACAACTTTGTATCAAAATTGTAAGATTGTCTCGCAGTGATTTAAAATACAAACAGTTAACCTTATTCATGTTAAGTAATGATTTTTATAATTATTTTTATTCCATGAACAAATTCTCGCAAGGAATTTTAAATGCAAATTATTATTAAATATTAATTGCTGTATTAATTTACTTACAATATTTAACCAATGTGGTCTATTAGTTATCTAGGTTAACAGTTAGAAGGTGAAAATTAATGTTAGTACATAGGGAAGAGATTTGAGATATGAATGCATTTGTTATTGACCATCTTTAATTGAGGATAGTCCATTTAGTAGAACAGACTATATTTTGATCTAAGTTACTTTGATTATTTTGATGTACAGTTATTATTAAAAGCTGTGGAAGTAGCATATTAAGCTAGACGCATAGCTTAGTGGAAAGTTCCTCTCGTTTAATCCCACCCTTTTTTCTGAATTACGCTAGTGATTTGTCTCATGACATCTCTCCCCGACCTTTAAAAAAATGCAATATCAAGCTTAAATCTACTCTATTTCACAAGACTTCTACCATAGCAAGAAAGCTGTGCACAGTTATTACCTTCTGTGAATGGATCATCCTAGGTAGCAAGTAATAAAAATTACAAACATGGACAGAGAATTTACAAGTATAGTAGTGTTGAAATAAAGTTAATTTGACGAGTAGTAGATACTGATCAATCTGCAACATGTAGATGATGATTCGTTAGGTTGTATTTTGCTGTTGATGGTGGACTTGTACCAAATTAATGGTACCATGTGTGATATTATGTATTATGCATTTTGCTTTGATAAAATTTGTTTCATAATCCTGATGTTAGCAGTTAATTTTTCAATTAACCCAGCAAATAATAATATGGCTCACTGCTATTCATCCCTGCCAATCAGGATGACCTACAAAAATGAAAAAAAAAAGATTAATGTTTGAAATAAGATTTTAATGATTATAATGGAAAACTTCCTTGATTGTAATGAATTATAATGAATGAAAAAAACTATTCTAATCATAAGTTTTAGAAACTTATCTTTATCCTTGAATATATTTGTAGCATTATTTTGATATTGTGTGTTAGCCATAATAAGTTATATTAATTTCTACTTCAGTAATTACCACTACTTACAATACAGTCTCTCTTGGTAAATATTTACATTGATGTCCATAATTTCATCATGACGTAAAGTCTATTCAATTAAAAAAAACATTGTGTATTAAATTACACATTGTATAAATAGTGTATTTTTCAAACAATGTTTTTTTCCCT